ATACAGACTGTGATTTGTGATTTCGCAGGTCTAGGGTCACCCAGAAACTCTGAATTTGTTAATAAGGCTTAATGTTGATGTAGTACATCCTAGTCTGTGCACCACACTTGGGATCATGGATGGTATGATGTGGAATAAGAATCAGGTTTAGGCATTTTGAGGATTTCTGCACCATGAACACCTCCATCAGCTCTGTTCTGTGGTGAGCCGTTTCTGCTGTTTCTGCAGACTATGGTCGCCATTACAAGATCGTGCTGGCTCCGCTGTGGTCTGTGACAAACAACTCCTTATTTGGGAGAGTTGGCGCATGGTTTTTCACCACCCTATGAGAAAGCTCCACGTGGCAGCTTCGCATTGGGGCTTGAGATGCTTTATTAAGGCTGGGAGGGGCATCCGAGAAAAAGAGAAGAAGAAATATCAAGGGCCTGAATAAACTGCTGAAAGAAGATTCCTGAGTTGCGTCTTCCTTGCGGGCAAGGGGTCGCGACACTGTTCCAATTTTATGTGGTCAGATGTGGACTCAGTAGCTCAGCTTTTGCCAAAACAAGTCGATGCTTCTTGCTACCTCTATACTTCCTTCATGATAGGAAATCAAACATACTGACCTTGGCTCTTCATATATATAAACTTATAAAATGCCCCTTTCTTCATAGAGTTTCTGTGTGAACTAAGCCATATGCTCATGGGAAATGACCTGCCCACAGCAGATGCTCCAGAGAGCTGCCATTGTGACCATTACCTTGCTTCTCATTGGCTCAGGTCACTGTGACATCATAAGGATTTCCTGGGACAGGAAGTGAGTCCAGCATTGAGCTGCTCCTAGGAGACAGGGATGGGTGGTGGAGGGGATGTCCTCCCAGGACCCGGGCCGGCAGCTGAGGTCCTGAGTCCACCTTCCTGTGTGGTGTTGGACTCATAGGTGCCATCCCTGGCCCACTCATGATAGCTCCAAGTAGGCACAGTAAGGGTTTTCAGACTTATTTATTTATTTATTTATTTATTTTATTGGGGATTGAACTCAGGGGTACTTGAGCACTGAGCCATGTCCCCAGCTCTATTTTATATTTTCTTTAGAGACAGGGTCTTACTGAGTTACTTAGCTGGCTTTGAACCCTTGATTGATGAGGCTGGCTTTGAACTTGCAACCCTCCTGTCTCAGCCTCCAGAGCTGCTAGGCATGCGCCACCACACCCAGCTTTAAGCAGTTTTACTATGTCTCACTCTTGGAAAAATCTATAAACCTGGTTTCTTGGTGCATCAAATTATTTCTCCCTTACTTCTCATCTTTCCTCATTCAAATCCATAGAATATAATCCATAAACTTTTGATGACACTGGAAATATAAAATGTTCGCCTCTCTGATTCTTCCCCATGGAAAAATTATATTTATGACTAGATATTACTCCATTTTCTGCAGGAGACTGTCCAACCCTACCCACTTCTTTGGGTCTTGGCCCTGCCTTGCCTGATATGAATGCACATCCCTCTTGTGGGACTTTGGACATGGTCAAGTGGTGGCTAATTTTGGGTATCTCTTTGAGTGCATCAAGGGATGCTAGGAGAACTGGTAAGTTTTATTTCTCTGTCTCTGAACTAGGAGAGTGTTTCCAGAGATGACTGTCATTGAGTCACTGGACAGAGTGATGACTCTCCCTCCCCATGAGCAACTCCATCCAGAAGTCTGGCCCTGCACTGAACAGGAAGACAGAACAAGGGGAAGATCCCTGCTGGTTCTTCCCTCTGGAGCAGGTGTATTCTCTCCTGCTGCTGCTGCTGGACATCTGACTCCAGTTCCTAGAGCCTCTGGATTCTAGCACTGGCCCCAGCATCCCTCTGGGTCCTGGTGTCTCTCCTCCTGGACTGGCTGCTGCACCATTGTCCTCCCTGGTTCTGAGGCCTCTGGCTTCTTGGACTAAGTCACGCGATTGGCTTCTCTGGCTCTCCAGCTGCAGACACTATTGTGGAAACACTCAGCCTCTGGGATCACGGGAGTCCATGGCATATCTGAACCTGTGTTTCCATCTGTCACCTGTCCACTTCCTCTGGAGAAGCCTAATGCCAAAGTGACCTGCATCAGGTGATAGGATGTGGGCAGACATGACCTGCTCCATGGGAAGAAGCTGTAAGAGGCTTGGGGGATTCCGCCACTCCCTTGTCTTCTTCTGTGTTGGAAGGGTGGGCTCCTCTCATGTGGGGGCCTTTTCCTTAGCCACCCTCCCAGAATGATGACACACCTGGGGCAAACACAGCTGGGTCAGAGCCACACACCTTGAGGTCTGCAATGAAGGGGCCCAGGTTTTGTCCACAGGAAAACACTCTGACTTGGAGGGTGGTTTGTTTTCTGCAGATGACAGCAACACACTCCCCAGGTGATCTTCGGTGCCTCCAAATCCACCCTGGCTGTGGCATGTGTCAGAAGGTCCTTTCTGCTCCTGGCTGACTGACCTTCTGTCCTGAGTACACAGCGTTGTGCTTATGCAGTTGTCTGTTGATGGACACCTTTTTTTCTCACCTTTTTGCTACTGTGAGTAATGTTGCTTTGGATCTTGGTGATCAAGTCTCTTTTGAGACCCTGTTTTCCCTTCTATTGTGTGTATACACACAAGGTGGAATTGCTAAGTGATACAACACTTCTATGTCTAACCTGAGAAGTTGCCAAACCCTTCTGCAGTAGCTGTAACATTTACATTTCCAGGAGTAATGGATGAGGATTCCAAATTATTAATTCACCAACATTGCTATTTTCCTTTTAAAAATTTTTATTACTTTTTTCATTTTTAATTTTGTTGTTATTGACTCATTATTGTATATATTTTGGGGTATACAATATGATATTGGATAAATGTGGACTTTATGTAATGATTAATGAAGATAATTAGCATATTTCACTTGCAATATGTATCATTTCTTTGTGATGAGATCAAAGTCTTTTCTTCTAGCTTTTTAAAAATACATATGATATATTATTAATTTTTGTCACCCTAGTATACAGCAGAACACCAGAATTCTTCCTGCCACTTAACATATCCATTGACTAACTTCTCCCCTTTATCCCTCTTGCCTCTTCCATCCAGACCCTGCTAATCACTTTCAGCTTCCATGAGATTCACTTTTTCAGATCCACTTTTTCTTTCTGTCAGTGAAATTGATTAGTTTTCCTATGTTCATTTGAAGAGGTGTGAAGTGCATCTCACTGTGGTTTTGATTTGCATCAAGTCCAACTTTTGGTCTCCATAAGTAAGGTTTTATTTGGAGTCAGTCACACATGCTCATCTGTGTGTTGTCTATGACAGCTGCCACCCTCATGGTAGAGCTGAGTTACTGTGAGAGACCATCTGGCCTGTGAAAATACTTTGGAAAGTATTTTCCCCTTCACAGAAGTTTCCTGGGCCCTCCATCAAGCAAGTAGGCAAGGTGAGAACCATGTTAATGAATCTCTCTCTCTCTCTCTCTCTCTCTCTCTCTCTCTCTCTCTCTCTCTCTCCATGTGTGTGTGAACTTTCCTAGGTAAGAGCTCCTTGGTGGATGTTAGATATGACAGATGACAGTCCAGCACAGGTGTCCAAGTGCTCATCCTTGCAACCTGTATCTGTGTTGTTACCTGACCTTTAGCATAAAACTGTTAAAGCATGTTGTCTTTAAAGATTATAGTGAAAGCCAAAAAATGAAGTAGCTGATTATTATAAATGCCCTCTGTTCTGTATCCTTTGTTTATTGTGATGGTTAGATATTATTGAATAACAAACATTCTTAAATTCTGACAGTTTCATGTAATGGCTTTATTCAAATGGGACCAGATGGGAGGACTTATTCTGAACTTGATTCAGTAAAAGTATATGCATGTTTGTGCAGGAGAGCTGTCTCCTGCTATCATAATACTGGGCAAGAATCCAGGATTGTTTGCAATTTATGCTCTGGTCATGATGATTGAAGTGATTCTTGAGTATGAAGGACATATGTAATGGATGATATTGATATTGCTCATTCACTACCCCTTTAGTTATTATAAAAAAAAATTCTGAAAGTTGTGGATAGCTCACTTAGAACAACAGAAGGATTCATTTTTTTTCTAGACAAAACTAGAAATTTTCAAATAGAAATTGAAAATAAGTATTGCTCACTGATATTCAGTGAGCAAAACCCCTTACACATGGAGAGTACTCTTCCACTCTTCAGTGATTACGTTTGCAGTATGAAAAGTCATATTTGCACAGCAATACAATAAACAATGCACAAGTCTATCTCATCACATTTAAGGTCCTCTCTGATTCTGAAGTGAGATAAATCAACCTATTATTTCTCATTTACTTTCTGTTGCAGCCTTCTCTTGGAGATGGAGATTACATAACTGGTTTTTCTTGTGGTAATGGTAGATACAGCAGACAGCAAGCTGCATAAGAAAACAGAATCCCAATAAAGAGAAGAAAAGCTTCTGCCAGTTTAAAAAAAATGAATTGGTTAAAAACTCACATTCTTAGGAAGAGCAAAGACAGTGAGGCACAAAGGAATGATGACCCCAAGATAAAACTGTTGATCCTTACACATATCCTCCAGGATAAAACTATGCACATGGCCTTCATTGTCAAGTGTGGGATTTTTCCACCTGAGGAGCACAGCACATGGCAAAGTATTTTCGTACAATTAAACCAAAGTTAACTTGATATGATCTATGTCCTTAAAAGAAACCATTCTTCAGAAATTCATGTTGTCCCATAAATAAATGAGATTTTCCAATCTTTCCAACCCATGATGGAAAACAAATTTGAAGGAGTGTGCAACCAAATAACAGTGAATGCTGTGTAGATGTCAGAGCAGAAATCTCATAAGGTGATTTACATACATTTTTTGGAGAAGTTAAAATGAAAGAAATGGAGATTCCAGAAAGTAAATAGGAGCCAGGTCTCATTCCACAATCTGGTCAAAATATTGTATTTTCTTGCTCTGAGGTTGCAAACCTTGCAATTAGCAATAGTTTTGAAGGTCCAAGATAATGAGAGCTTTTATAGTTTCTCAAAGAGTGTTTTCAGAGTGCTCTTGATGTCTTTACTCCTCAGATTGTAGATGAAGAGATTCAGCATGGGGGTGACCACAGTGTACATCACAGAGGCTGTGGCACTTGGGTGTGCATTTTGGGCAATAGAAGAACTAAGATACACATCCAGGAGTGTGCAATAGAATAAGGAGACCACGGAGAGGTGAGATGCACAGGTGGAGAAAGCTCTGTACCTGCCCTGAGCTGATGAGATTGCAGGAAGGAGGACACTATCTTAGAGTAGGAGTGAAGGATACCATCGAGGGGCCACCAGCCAGCAGCACAGCTGCAACATATATCACCAGGTCATTAAGGAAAGTGTCAGAGCAGGCATGGTGGACCACCTGATTAGGTTCACAGAAAAACTGAGGGATTTTTTAGTCTGTGCAGAAGGGTAGTCACAGCACCATTAAGCTGTTCAATAAGGAATGGAGAGCACTCATGACCCAGGATGCCAGCACCAGAAATCCACAGAGCCTGGGGCTCATGATGAGTGTGTAGTGCAGGGGATGGCAGATGGCCACAAACCGGTCATAGGCCATCACAGCCAGTAGGAAGTTGTCCAGCCCTACAAATAATGCAAAAAAGTAAATCTGTATAATGCAACCTACATAGGTAATGACTTTACTTTGCATCTGGATGTTCACCAGCATCTTGGGGATGGTGGTGGAGGTAAAGCAGATGTCCACAAAGGACAGGTTGGAGAGGAGGAAGTACATGGGCGTGTGCAGGTGGGGGTCTGAGATGGTGGCCAGGATGATGAGCAGATTCCCTGTGACCGTGACCAGGTACATGGAAAAGAAAAGCCCAAAGACGAGGGGCTGCCATTCTGGTTTCTCTGAAATTCCCAGAAGAAGAAATTCTGAAATTTTTGTGTCATTTTGTGCTTCCATGTGCTTTGATTTATACCAGGAAAGAGAAAATTAACATCACTAATTTTTCTATCTGGTTCCCTTTAAGGCATCCCCCATGCCATCTCTAATTAGGAATTCTGGTCCCTGTCCACTTTTCACCAATGGATCATATACTATACAGTTTTATGAGCTACACTTTTTTGAAAGTATGGGATGTAAGTTGGGTCCAACCATAATCCTTGCACTTTCTAGGCAGTGAGCTTTTTAAATAAAAGATTCTTGCAGAAAAAAATACACGTATGTAAGGAAATGAATAAAAATCAGGAGCTTAAGGAAGATTTTGAGAATTTTCACCATAAAGATATGATACATATTGGAACTGATATATTTTATTTTATTGTATTTTTTTAATTTTTTTTATTGTTGGTTGTTCAGAATTTTACATAGTTCTTTTTTTTAATTTATTTTTTTATTGGTTGTTCAAAACATTATAAAGCTCTTGACATATCATATTTCATACATTAGATTCAAGTTGGTTATGAGCTCCCAATTTTACCCCAAATACAGATTGCAGAATCACATTGGTTACACATACACCTTTTTACATAATGCCCTATTAGTAACTGTTGTATTCTGCTACCTTTCCTATCCTCTACTATCCCCCCTCCCTCCCCTCCCATCTTCTCTCTCTACCCCATCCACTGTAATTCATTTCTCTCCTTGTTTATTTTCCCATTCCCCTCACAACCTCTTATATGTAATTTTGTATAACAATGAGGGTCTCCCTCCATTACCATGCAATTTCCCTTTTCTCTCCCTTTCCCTCCCACCTCATGTATCTGTTTAATGTTAATCTTTTCTTCCTGCTCTTCCTCCCTGCTCTGTTCTTAGTTGCTCTCATTATATCAAAGAAGACATTTGGTATTTGTTTTTTAGGGATTGGCTAGCTTCACTAAGCATAATCTGCTCTAGTGCCATCCATTTCCCTGCAAATTCTATGATTTTGTCATTTTTTAGTGCTGCGTAATACTCCATGGTGTATAAATGCCACATTTTTTTAATCCATTCATCTATTGAAGGGCATCTGGGTTGGTTCCACAGTCTAGCAATTGTGAATTGTGCTGCTATGAACATCGATGTAGCAGTATCCCTGTAGTACGCTCTTTTAAGGTCTTCAGGGAATAGTCCAAGAAGGGCAATAGCTGGGTCAAATGGTGGTTCCATTCCCAGCTTTCCCAGGAATCTCCATACTGCTTTCCAGATTGGCCGCACCATTTTGCAGTCCCACCAGCAATGTATAAGAGTACCCTTTTCCCTACATCCTCTCCAGCACTTGTTGTTGTTTGACTTCATAATGGCTGCCAATCTTACTGGAGTGAGATGGTATCTTAGGGTGGTTTTGATTTGCATTTCTCTGACTGCTAGAGATGGTGAGCATTTTTTCATGTACTTGTTGATTGATTGTATGTCCTCCTCTGAGAAGTGTCTGTTCAGGTCTTTGGCCCATTTGTTGATTGGGTTATTTGTTTTCTTATTGTTTAATTTTTTGAGTTCTTTGTATACTCTGGATATTAGGGCTCTATCTGAAGTGTGAGGAGTAAAGATTTGTTCCCAGGATGTAGGCTCCCTATTTACCTCTTTTATTGCTTCTCTTGCTGAGAGAAAACTTTTCAGTTTAAGTAAGTCCCATTTGTTGATTCTTGTTATTAACTCTTGTGCTCTGGGTGTCCTATTAAGGAATTTGGAGCCCGACCCTACAATATGTAGATCGGAGCCAACTTTTTCTTCTATCAGACGCAGAGTCTCTGATTTGATATCTAGCTCCTTGATCCACTTTGAGTTAACTTTTGTGCATGGCGAGAGGAGGGGATTCAGTTTCATTTTGTTGCATATGGATTTCCAGTTTTCCCAGCACCATTTGTTGAAGATGCTATCCTCCCTCCATTGCATGCTTTTAGCTCCTTTATCAAATATAAGATAGTTGTAGCTTTGTGGATTAGTCTCTGTGTCCTCTATTCTGTACCATTGGTCCACCCGCCTGTTTTGGTACCAGTACCATGCTGTTTTTGTTACTATTGTTCTGTAGTATAGTTTTAAGTCTGGTATCGCTATACCGCCTGATTCACACTTCCTGCTTAGAATTGCTTTTGCTATTCTGGGTCTTTTATTTTTCCATAGGAATTTCATGATTGCTTTATCCATTTCTACAAGAAATGCTGTTGGGATTTTGATTCGGATTGCATTAAACCTATAGAGAACTTTTGGTAATATCGCCATTTTGATGATGTTAGTTCTGCCTATCCATGAACAGGGTATATTTTTCCATCTTCTAAGATCTTCTTCTACTTCTCTTTTTAGGGTTTTGTAGTTTTCATTGTATAAATCTTTCACCTCTTTTGTTAGGTTGATTCCCAAGTATTTTATTTTTTTTGAGGATATTGTGAATGGAGTGTTTTTCCTCATTTCCGTTTCAGAAGTTTTGTCGCTGATATACAGAAATGCCTTTGATTTATGCATGTTGATTTTATATCCTGCCACTTTGCTGAATTCATTTATTAGTTCTAGTAGTTCTTTTGTAGACCCTTTTGGGTCTTCTAGGTATAGAATCATGTCATCTGCAAATAGTGATAATTTAAGTTCTTCCTTTCCTATTTTTATGCCTTTAATTTCTTTCGTCTGTCTAATTGCTCTGGCCAGTGTTTCGAGAATTATATTGAATAGAAGTGGTGATAGAGGGCATCCCTGTCTTGTTCCAGATTTTAGGGGGAATGCCTTCAATTTTCCTCCATTGAGAATGATGCTAGCCTGAGGCTTAGCATAGATTGCTTTTACAATGTTGAGGTAAGTTCCTGTTATCCCTAGTTTTTCTAATGTTTTGAACATAAAGGGATGCTGTACTTTGTTGAATGCTTTTTCTGCATCTATCAAGATGATCATATAGTTCTTATTTTTAAGTCTATTGATGTGGTGAATAACATTTATTGATTTCCGTATATTGAACCATCCTTGCATCCCAGGGATGAATCCTACTTGATCATGGTGCACAATTTTTTTGATGATGCCTTTGTATCCGATTCGCCAGAATTTTATTGAGGATTTTTGCATCTAGGTTCATCAGAGATATTGGTCTGTAGTTTTCTTTCTTTGAGGTGTCTTTTTCTGGTTTCGGAATCAGGGTGATGTTGGCCTCATAGAATGAATTTGGCAGAGCTCCTTCTTTTTCTATTTCCTGAAATAACTTGAAAAGTATTGGTATTAATTCTTCCTTAAAGGTTTTGTAAAACTCCGCTGTATACCCATCCGGTCCTGGGCTTTTCTTGGTTGGAAGTCTTTTGATTGCTTCTTCTATTTCATCAATTGTTATTGGTCTGTTTAAGTTGTGAGTATCCTCCTGACTCAGTCTGGGCAAATCATATGACTTAAGGAATTTATCGATGTCTTCACTATCTTCTATTTTATTGGAATATAGGTTTTCAAAATAATTTCTAATTGTCTTCTGTATTTCTGTAGCGTCTGTTGTGATATTGCCTTTTTCATCCCGTATGTTAGTAATTTGAGTTCTCTCTCTTCTTCTCTTCGTTAGCATGGCTAAGGGTCTATCGATCTTATTTATTTTTTCAAAGAACCAACTTTTAGTTTTGTTAATTTTTTCAATAGTTTCTTTTGTTTCAATTTCATTGATTTCCGCTCTGATTTTAATTATTTCTTGCCTTCTGCTACATTTGCTGTTGTTTTGCTCTTCCTTTTCTAGGGCTTTGAGATGAAGTGTGAGCTCATTTATTTGTTGGTTTTTCATTTTTTTGAGGAATGACCTCCAAGCGATGAATTTCCCTCTTAAAACTGCTTTCATTGTGTCCCATAGATTCTGATATGTTGTGTCTGTATTTTCATTTATCTCTAAGAATTTTTTGATTTCCTCCTTTATGTCTTCTGTAACCCATTGATCTATTCAGTAACATTGTTCATTTTCCATGTGATGTAGGATTTTTCCTTCCTTCTTTTATCATTGATTTCCAGTTTCATTCCATTATGATCAGATAAAATGCATGGTATTATCTCCACCCCTGTATATTTACTGAGGGTTGCCCTATGGCATAATATATGGTCTATTTTTGAGAAGGATCCATGTGCTGCTGAGAAAAAAGTATATCCACTTGATGATGGTTGATATATTCTATATATGTCAGTTAAGTCTAGTTTGTTGATTGTGATATTGAGTTCTATAGTTTCTTTATTCAGCTTTTGTTTGGAGGATCTGTCCAATTGTGAGAGAGGTGTGTTGAAGTCACCCATAATTATTGTGTTGTGGTCTATTTGATTCTTGAACTTGAGAATTTGTTTTATGAATGTCGCAGCACCATTATTTGGTGCATAAATATTGATAATTGTTATGTCTTGTTGGTGAATGGTTCCTTTTAACAGTATATAATGTCCTTCCTTTTCCCTTTTGATTAATTTAGTCTTGAAGTCAATTTTGTTCGATATGAGGATGGCCACCCCTGCTTGCTTACGAGGACCGTGTGCATGGTATATTTTTTCCCAACCTTTCACCTTCAGCCTGCGTATGTCTTTTCCAATCAGATGTGTCTCCTGGAGGCAGCATATTGTTGGATTTGTTTTTTTAATCCATGTTACCAGCCTATGTCGCTTTATTCGAGAGTTTAAGCCATTAACGTTTAGAGTTACTATTGATATATGGTTTGTACTTCCAGCCATGTTTGATTATTTATCTTCTTTTTTTTTAATTTAGTTTGTTTCTCCATTGTTAGCTTTCCCCCCGCCCTCTGTCTTTATAGAGGCACTTCCCACTGATGGTTTTGGTTATTGTTTTTCATTTCTTCCTCGTGTAGTGTTTTGCTCACGATGCTTTGCAATGCTGGTTTTCTGCCTGCAAATTCTTTTAGCTTTTGTTTATCATGAAAGATTTTTATTTCATTGTC